CATTTCAAAGCGAAATTTCCATTGAATAATTTTCAATAGAAATGTGAAGTATTAATCAAAATCAATAACATTAAAAAAATAATATCTTTCTAGATCCGTTGTTGTATAACAATGGCGTATTGTTTTAAACTTAACAGTTCAAGAAATCAAATTATATCTACTAGTGCGTTCAAGTATACACAATAACATAGATTCCCTTTTTTAACGCAGGTTTCCAATAAGTACAAAAGCAAAAAAAAAAAATAATCGAACTCTGAACTTGAAATGCTTAGATACGATATAATGAAATGAGAGCAAAAAACAGTGATGATAAATTTTCCAGTCGAACAGTTATGCCGAGATGGTAATTTTTTCGATCGCAATATTGTGATACGATTCTTTATCGAACTCTCCGAGTATTTGAATCGTTGTATTGCATCGAAGTTGAAGTTTTCCATATGAATGTTCTGACCATTTTCGTATATCATCAAGACTGGCGAGAACTTTTGAGGGTCTCGGAGCTGATCGGTTCTAGGTCCCCTTTACTTGCATTTGTTTGGCGAAGATATACATACTGCTTATATATATTTTAGTACAATAAAAATATTGTTTAAAAGGCTGAGACGACGGGCTATCTCAGACGTACAGGCCCCGGGGCTCTAGCCCTCCCTGCCCTAATCTCTCATCAGCCTTATATATTAAGCATTAGTTTTGTCTGATCGATAAAAATATTATCTATTAATTCATATATTGTTTTATTTTAATTATTTTATGTGATAGTAATATAATACTATACATATTACAATTTATATTGAAAATAAAATATTTACAATATGATGTTATGTTGTTTAATGACTGAAGAACATTATATTTTTAACACACTTTAATAGCATTAGAACTGCCAACCGACTGTGTCGATTATCGGCTGGTACAAAGACGCTTGAGTTTTCCGAAATATCATCTATGTTATATACATGTGGCTTGGACCCCTCTTACGTCCTGAGTTTAGGCTATGATATATTATTCGCTTGGGATTCTCAGGTTTAAAATATTATGTTATGTTATTTTTTTTTTGTTTGAATATCATTTTAAGTAATAAATTATCGATGAATTAATCATTTTTGTATCATAATAAAAAATAAAATCAAAGGAACCCTCCCAAAAAAAAAAAAATTCTAAAAATTACCACTACTTATGCTACGATTCACATGTAAGTATCTCAAAAATACTTGGCCCGTAATTCGGAAAAAAATTTACCATGGGATGCAACTGGTAGCCACTGGTTGCCACCCCTTGACCTAACTTGTTTCGGGATATAGTAAAATGTATGTTAATATATTCTTATATTTAGTATATTAATACAATATTTGTGGAAACTATAGTTATTTTGTCACAATAGTGTAATGATAGTATACAATTATAAATATTTGTATGTAACCCCTATACCTACTGATAGGGATGAGCAAAAAACATCATTTTCTGGGTCGATATATCGATGTTACAATATCGATGATTTGTTTTTGATTAATCGATTAAACTTCGATGTTTATGTTCGAAAAGTTCGAATTTTTTTTTGTTTGTATTATTTTAGTATGCAGTAAACAAAAATCATTATACAGCATACACTATACAGTTATAATCAGAGCTTGTAAATTCTTGCACTATAAAACGCATAAATAAGCATACAATAATGCACTAACATTTGATAAAATATACATTAAATATCCTTAACTATGCATGAAAAAAATATTTAAGGATTTTTTAAAATAATAAGAATTATCCATTTATATTTTTAAAAGTTATATTTTTTCTTCGGTTATATTTTATTTAAACTATAAATAATGGACACACGTTGCGACGAAAATAGATAGATTATTGCTTATCTATTGCGGACATGTCAATAAAAGGAGAGTGGTAGTAATGCGCAATAACATTGTTTTCATGGTAATGATTTAACTTATAAAATTCAATGTCGTTAAAAAATAAAAATATTGATATAATACTAAGATTTTATAAACAAATTCGGGAAAGTAAATAAGAATTAATTCAAACATTTATTGATCTATTTTTTTGACTTCTACAAAAACGATTTCGCTGAATTTACATAAAATAATATGCACTAATAATTCAAAAAAAAAAATCATCTATATGCCAAATATGCCAATTCACACAAAGCATGCAAAAACATGCTCAATTAAACTTTAGATTTTTATTACCATTGTTATGAAACGAATTTTTATCTCAATTAGCATGTATGATGTAGGAAAGAAAACATGCAACTGCATGAACTTACGAGACCTGATTATAAATATTTAATATGTTTTTAAAAAATATAAGTTAAACAATAGTATTTAACTCTTAAATTTATTATTTAATCAAGAAAATAGTACACTGTACAGATAAGGTGTGCAATAGATAACAGCTCTAGAGGGAAAATATTTTTTTTCAATGTTCTTAAATATTGATGGTTTTTCACCGATATATCGAACCCATCGATATTTTAAAAATCAATGTATCGATACATGGAATATCGATGTTGAAACAATTTTGTCCATCCTTACCTACTGAAAAAAAATATTGTGCACAATAAACAAAGAATTTGGTGAGTATAAAAAAACAGTAATAAAAACGAGATATAAACACAATAATTATGAGTCATATTATTGATATTGTAATTTGCTTAGCAAATAGTGGTAGGAAATGTTGTTATCATAATAAGAAATATGATAGCTATAATCAAAAACTTTTTAAAGAATTTATAATTTTACTGCCCACGTATAATATTGTTCTTGATCGTTTTTTCCAAGAGGCATCAAAACATTTTTTGTACTCCAGTAATCAATTATTTATTTTATAATATCAATTACAAATGTTATTTTTTAAATAACATAAAAACAGTTTAAAAAAAACGCATTCATATCAATATCAGCCAATGTGACTACAGATGTTTGGGTACTCGTTCAATATTCTATCTAATGTAAATATTTTATTTACCGTTATTTTATTTTAGTTTAATATGTTACCTACGAATAAAAATTGCATTATATTTTTTGTTCATTCAGTAACAAATCACATGTTTTTTAAAATAAAAAGTGCATACATTTATTAATTTTGAACAATATTTTGATACAAATATCCCATTAGTGATAGCCGAAACATCAATTTTAATAATTAAAAAAATAATAATAATACAGAAAACCGCGGTTAAATCATGTACATACGATACGACTCACAAACATACATCATTTCATTTTTTTATTCGTTTGAAGTTAAATTTTAATTTAAAAATGATAAATTATATGCAGTAGATATCATAATAACTGTGTGATAGATATCATATGGAACGAGTACCGTTACTGGAGATTTTGAATATTTATCAGTTTTTTTTCGATATTTTGATGATAAAAAAATTAAATTAGGAGAAATTTATATCACTTTGAAGATAATGGAATCTGTTGTAATTCATGCTATTTTTAACTGTCTTCTTAATGTACCTACTGAAATTCATAGGAAATATTAGAATTTAATTTTCTCAAAATGCTTTGATGGGCCTTCTTCTATGGCTGGTAAAATAAAAAAGTTCGAACTAAATGTATGGAACAAAATTTAAGTAATAAATATTTCCATATTTTAAAAATGAAAAAAATATATTTATATTTATATATATATTGCAATAGCTATAGCTATTTATTATTTTATTGATTTTCGTGCGTTAAGACATGCATTTTTGATAAATGTATTTATTGAAACAGATCTTGAAATTATGTCACTTTCAGTTAAATGATGTTCGATTAAGACGTATCGAGTATTCAGAAGTAGTCAAATATGTGCTTCATTAACTTTAAAACTTTGCTCTTAGTCATATAGAAGACAATTTTTAAAATAGCATTGTTCTAGAAATTAGTGCAAAAAGTTGATTATCTACTTATAGATCAATTAAAAAGTTTCGATTTTAAATTTTGAAAAAATGTAAAAAAAAAAATAAAAAAAAAATATTTACATAAAACATATAACCACTTATAATATGAACAAATTTCTGCTATACACTGAAAATTCAATGAAGAAACTATAAAATTAGTTAGACCCATATCCATTAAGCATCGGCTCACAGTAGCGCCAAAATATTATATAACGAGGTCAAACTTTAGCCTTATTTCTTTTTTAAAACTTAGGATGCAGCCGCTTCGTATAGTCTGAAGTTTGTCTATCAAACCGTGTAATAGCTTCATTACTAAATTAAAGCACAGTATATTTTCTTATATTTTTTTGATAAAACCATTGACCTTCCCCCTACCGACAGTACGCCATTGGGATCGAAAATGATCGAAACATATCGTTACCGAATACAGGTGCTAGCTTTAATCTGTACTCGGCATAGGATATCGGTAAGCCATTTTAGTCTTCAAATATGTGGTGTTATTTCAGTTTTTTCTAGAATAGTACAGTCGGCATGTTCTTATTAAATTGGAAAAAGTTTTGACAAAATGTCTATTAATATGGTGAAACAGGTTAAAAAATATAATGATTTGTGCTATGTACATAAGTACCCGCATGATACACGTCTCGTTTTTCTGATTTACAACATACAAATAGCTTTATAAAAGACGTATTTACATTTTGATGAATATACTAAATATACATATAGCTAAACTCTAGACTAGGGGTCGGCAACCTTTTGAACCACGCGGGCTATATTTTTTTTTCAAAAGTTTTTTAAAACAACATTAAAAAAATATTTACATATGATATATAGTACTACTTCTACTACTACTATAACTACCGTTACTACTAACACTACTATTGTTTTCACAATTCTGTGTTATCATGATTTTTATCGTACATTATTATTTGGAAAACGATCGTTTGGTCATAATGTACCAAGGTAACGCATAGTCAACCTGTTAAACCTGAAATTCCCGCGCATCAAGGTTTCCCAATGTCACCCACTACCGATTACAATCCCGTTTGCTGGTTCGACCGCCGGTCGATCACGTTTTCCGTCCGTGGCGCAACGATAATTTTCACGTGTGCGTCCCACCGTTCGTCACCGATCGTCGAGTCAATTCCCGACGTTATCGTCTTCAGTTTACCGGACCACGTCCACCGACATCGTGCCGTCGGCTTTGTCGGAACTGACATTTAAATCGCACCCGACGTCGAATTTCCCGTACTCGCCATGTTGATTCCGTCGCAGCCGATCAAGTTCCTCTTGGAGATGATGATCTTCTCGTTGTTGTTGGTTCCCGGTATCATGTGGGCCGGTTTAAGAAACGTACTGCCATCCAAACGGAAATCCGTTCGAGGACAAGTCGTGCTGGTAAGTTGACGGTTCCACGTTCTAAGGTGACCGTTGTCGAATCGTTGTACGGTTATGATGTGTTGTATACGTATGTATACAATATACGACAGGGATCACCGATTAATATTTCCGTGGGCCACATTATGAGTTCGGAAAGTCCTTATCAGAATTTAAAGTACATTTTTAACGTGTACCTATTACATTTTATAACAAATCCGATCAGATGCTAAAATATATACCTACTTTTTCGTACTGCACACTTTATGATTTTGTCATAATCCCCTTTTAAACGTTATTAGTCATGAGAAATATGGTTAAATTAGTCTTTTACATTTTGCTGTTAATACATATATTATTTCACATATCTTGGAATTTTAAAAACATGTAAAATAATTGATTAAAAAACATAAAATTAAAAACAAATATCATAATATAGAGAATAGAAAACCATTACACACTTTTTAATTTCGTACTACACACTTAAAATTTCTTATTATGCTAAGTGTGCCATACTACGCACAATTTTAGTCCCTGAATCCAAATGGCCAAAGTAAACAACAAAAATAACGATAAAATAATAATGCTAACATCAAACAATTGAATGAATATGAGATTTTATATCCATTTTTTAAAATAGAATACATCCACGAGTAAAATATTGTAACGCACAGAGACGTATTTTAGGGGGATGAAGGAGCGATCGCCCCCTCTGAATCCGTATTTAAGGAATTGATTATATGTGAGATACTAATTTTTGAATGTGAATCATTTGATAACGAAATCAAATTACGCGTGTCTATGAATACTGAACTGAGCTTTTTTTCGGGTCCATAGTTAGTGAAAAATCAAATAAAACTTGTGAAACTTAACTTTCAAAATACAGACAGGTATTAAAAAAGAACTACACAATAGTCGATTCTAAGTGGATCCGGTATTAGATTAAAAAAAAATAATAATAAATCAAGAAATATTAAGGATTCACCTCATATAAATATTACCAGCAATTTTACTTGTAAATTTTGAACCCTTGGTAACGCACCAGACGTGTGACTTACCTTCAACATAATTTGTTGATTGGTACGGTCTATCTTGAATAACCTAATTAAAACATAATACAAAGTAATAATTATGAGTGTACTTTGAACGTATTGATAAAATAGTAATTTTGCCTAATTATTTTTGCCGACTAAAAAGTTAGTTATAGTTATTGTTTCAAATGTATTACTCTGTATTATCTCGATCTAGTTTTTAACGATTTAGATATTCATTTGTTATGAAATATAGAGCACGTACAATGTTGATATGAACACTTCTTATTCGTACTATCCATATACTTTATATTATTATTATTTTCAATTTTCAAAGTGTACTCTATCGCAAGGTATATATAATGTTCGATATGTGCATATGATTCTAGGCCTTTTGAATAGGTGTGGAAATTTAGCAGAAATAGGTCATGTGTAGACTCGTAATTAAATCTTTAAGGCCGGAGGTTCTCAGCTATGAAGTTCTATGAAGTAATCGACCTTGCAAACTTCCTCTCTCGCGCCGTTATATATTTGATTTATCGTCGATCGCTTTGAAATGACACGAATCATGTTCAATTACCGCTTTATTTATATTCACTTATTGCTAATAACAGTCGAGTCGTCGTACAGGAAATATCCGTCCTTATTAGTTCGTACATGACTGAAAAAAATGTTATTACAATATTTATTTCTTAATTTATGTTTATAAGATTTATATCAGGGGCGGCCAACATGTGGATCTTGCCATTGTCATATGCGGTTCGCGTTTTATTTATAAAATTAAAATTTACTCATTATACTGCTATTATCAAGAATTTAAATTTTTTTAGGTATACATTTATATAAAAGTTATCAAATTATGCAAAATTTATCTGTAAACATTTTGGTTCTTGGAGTTACTGTATTTATCCGTGTGGTCCATGAACCTATTCATGTTGGGTGCCTCTAATATATACTAATTAAAACATAATTCTAAGAGATACGAGAAGAATCGGATTTTATAAAATTCTAGCAAATTTGTTGTATAGAGTCATGCTTAATGACCAATGAAATATACATTAAACAATATGATCAATCGTTATTTCGTGACTTCCATTCGTGTCGATTAAAATTTATGTTCAAAAAATGCGATATAAAAATTATATAAAATGCATGTTTTAACGTAATACGTCACTATAACATAAGATACATGTCACATAATATACTAACATTATTAAATATGATATTTAAACTTTTACAATATGTTTATTAATAAAGTGATATGCCAAACAACCCTGAAATAAACGGACTTGTAAGTTTCTTGTATTTCCATGACTAGAACTCATCTGAATTGTAGTAATTTCAATCTCTCATTTATATGGCTTGATTGACGTTATAGAAGTTGCACCTGTTGTCGTTCTAGACGATATCTAGTCTCATAATAACTGTTCATCATAATGATTGACATGTTCTTCATAATTAGCACATTATTTTAGGCATATTTATATATGGATTGACACATACGTTCAAAAGGTTTGAGAACTATCTTACCAATTAAACGAAAACGTGAAAGCACGAAACCTTAAGGTCGCGAACGAGGCGGTAAATTGATTAAATCAAAGGACATGAAACAATAATTTCGTATTGTTTCGTGTTGTTTTACGTTGACTATATTTTCGTAAACAAGAAGTTAATTTAATTAATATAAATTAAATTAGATATAAAATATAGGTAAATAAATGTGATCAATTATCATCGTGTGGAATCACGTCATTTGGTTTAGTTCCAATTACCAATTTCCAATACCGTTCCCTATTTTTAAATAAAGTTGTAGTCAACCATCTTCGTGTTTTTGGTTTTTTTTTTTTTGTTTTGAAGCCAATACAATATAAATTGCACTGGCAATTGATAATTCATCTCCTTTATCACTATTCATTGTTATTTAAATAAGAAGGAATGAACAATTTGTACGTTGACACAAACTAAACGTACTAAACAACAGTAAACTGAAAACTGAACGAAACACTAAGAAATCACAAAACGCGAAACGCGAAACATACATAAAGTGGAGCTACCTTTATCGTTGAACACACTGTAAATGGAAGCCCATAAAAAAAAAGGTTTCGGTCTGCAATTTTAGGTTTAGCATGGTTTTTTACCTTTAATCTTAAAATAGATTTTTTTTTCGTTTGTTGTTTTGACAATACATTTAATTTTTTTTTTTTTTTTTAATATTTTGAATTTTCATTTTGGCATTATATATTTAAACATTAATATACCTAAAATGAATTATTTCCTTAGTTAGTAATTTACAATTTATTATGTGTTTGCATACTTGTAAAACTTTACAATGTGATTTACTTAAATTATTAATGTTAACAGGCGTAACTAGATCTTAAAGTTAGGGGGGATTCAGCCCTAACATGTTTAAAATAAGTAAAAAAATATGGAGGCTCTGCCCTATATCACTCAAACCCGTCCCTTAAGTAATATTCATTATTAAATTATAATATTATTTTATTAATATATAATGTATAAGACAATGTATATAAAATGTATAGTAAAAAAAGTGATATTGAGGTAAATATTAAAATATTAACATATTTATTATTATTTTAGATACAAGTTAAATGTTCTTAAAAATTAAAATCTTAAAGGATTTTATAACTGTTACAACTAGAGCCTCCGCTCAGTATTGACAAATTTATTTAAAATGTCTTCTTTGTTTAGAATGTTTGACAAATCTTTTTCAATTGCAATGATTGCTAACTTGGAAAATCGATTTTGTAATATATTTGAGCTTATGTAGGTTTTTATTCGATGCATTGCTGAGAATGTTTTTTTCCCTAGATGTGGAACTTGTTGGAACTGTAAGCGCTAAATGTAGCATTTTATATAAATTTGAGAAAACAGATTTTTCAACGATACTCTTTAGCTGTTTTAAATGTTCCTGATTGTTAATGTTTTCCAATTGATTGTCATAACAATTTTTTGCAACCAAAATTTCTGATTTTAAGTCAGTTTCATTAATATTTCGTTACTCGTTAATCGTTGTCACAAGTTATTAATAATCTAACGTCTTTTATGATTATTTTTGTTTTTAATTTATTAATAATTTCTAAGTAATATTTATGTAGTGAAACCTTACAAACAATCACCGTTTTACAACGATGAGTATAACCAAAAAAAAAAATAAATATTTTTCCAATATATTAATAAAAATAATAAAACGATATTTTAAATTAAAATGTGTATGAAACATGTGAATGAAAAACGCTTTAGTCAACATTATTTTTACGAAACCAAGATTATTAAGTTACTCGACTCTAAACAACAGGCAACGATAAACGCATATTTCATTGAGCATACACATTTTTTTTTTTCACAGTTTATAATATTTTTTGAATTTTTTGAAAAATTTTTTGAAAAAAATATTTTTTTTTTAATAATAAATAAAACCAATTATTCTTTAGAAACAATCGGTATATTGACATATTTCACCTTGGTCTAAAAATGTTCCTAATAAACGGCTTCTACTCTATATTAATTAATATTTATTTACCCATTACCATTTTATAATACCTTATATAATATAATAATATATCTATTCTACCATTGTTGAATTACTATCTCAATTACCAAAGTAATATTGCTTATTTAAAAAAAAAAAATGTTCAAATTTACTTATTATTTGTAATGATGTGGGTACGTGTCACTTAATATATTTTTGCAAGACGTTTGAAGAATTTTTTTAGTAAATTACGTAAGCCACAAAAGTACAAGTAAGTAAATTAAAATGTGGTAAATGCCAGGAATATAATTTACATACTTACAAAAGAATCAAAAGATGAATATATTCCTATGAAATTAAATTTATCTTCAAGTTTAATATAATAGGTATATGTGAAAAAATATTATAAAACTAATCTATAAAACTAATCTATAAAACTATCTATAAAACTACGAAAGTCATACCGTTTTGAAAATAAAAATAAAGACAAAATCGTTTTTGGGTTCTCCTGAAAAGTATGAAATGTGTTGCTTATACCAAATATGATTTTAAACGACGATGTACTAAAATGTATGAATTCTTGTAAAATTAAAAATAGGTATTTAAATATAAAGAACTTTTAAAAGTTAACTAAAATAATAAAAAATAACTAATGATTAATATGAGCTAAACCCGGTTAAAGTAATCTATACGGTTGTTTATATATATAGACGGTTAGTTACTTTCAATTTAATTTCATCAGTTAGTAGAAGTTAATTTATCTCCTTCTTAATTAAATACTTTGGAGAATTGTTCACATAATTCAAATATAGATTGTTTTTCTCCATTTTTATATGTTCGCTTCCAATTAAATTTTTATCTGTTTTTTTTTTTTAGCCTGATGTATCATTTTCATTTATTGTATATATTTTAAATATATTATAATTTGATGATTTGTCATAAAATATTTTATTAAAATCATTTAATGTTGTCTTTTGCATGACTTCCGATATGTTTAAAATGCTTACTGTTATTTTACCGTTTTTTTAATTTTCCTATCACATTGCTATAATATACATCTTTAATAGTTTCTTGTTTTTGAATAATTATATTTTGATCTTTGACTTTAGGTTCGGCTATCGGTAATTCCACAATAGTCTTAGTCATAGGATTTAATAAAAAATATTATAAATGTATTATGACCGATATGTTAAATATACCGATAGTTATATTATTTATGCGATTTATGTTATATAAGTATGTTTGCAATATTGCTGTAAATTCGTTTTTACGATTTTTACGTTTGCGTTACCAGTTTTTGAGTGTTAAGTCCAATTTTGCACGTACCTACTAATACCATTATATCGAATCCGACAATGGCCACTTAAACGTTTCGATTTGAATTTAATTTGTCGACCACGCAAGTACGAATATTGATAGTGATCAATTTATGTTAGTTAATTTACGACCGATCTTTTGCATTCGTCTTCGCGATGCGAGGAACATGAAAACTCGATGCAGAGTTCTCTAAGTTTAATTATGATAAGTGAAATATCGTTTTTATTCGTTAACAGGATGCTCCACGATAATATATTGACAACAACCATTTTTTACGGTAATTTTTTCTGATAACTTTAACTATTCGAATTTAAGATTCTGAGTGAAATGAAAAATTTCTCCGTAAACTGCCGCCCAATGATAAAATTTACTATATCACAGCAATTGCCTCCAGATCGTTACAAAATTACTTCTATAAAAACACATAACGTTTTCAACATCAATTTGTTGAAGATAAACACATGCAAAACGTTAACCATTTATATGCACATTAGTCATGTTAGATTTTAAAATATAATACAATCTATTTTTATATCGTATCATACCGTTTGATTTACTCGCGTACTCTAAAGGCACGTTTCAGCCATTACGAAAGGGTATCAGAAAAACATAACCCTAAATAATAAAAAAAAATCGTGAGCGTTTCGTGCGCAAATAAAAGGTGTGCGCATATCACGAGCCTTTGCTATATATATTTATATATACACACGACTATTATCGAGATGAAACTCGTCTTCTGTTCTTTGACAGTAAGAAATATTTCGTAAAAAATACACATATTTATATACGAATATATATACGTACATTTTTTATGCTCATCTGTAAGTTATTACCAAATAAATAAAAGAAAAAATGCTTTTTGAACACCTAACACGCGCCGCGGGCGGCATGTTTACTTAAATCCAATATAATCTGACTGTTCGGGTAAAAATAAAAACGATAAGGGATAGACACGGTTTATCTTAAATAACAACCGAGTGGACGAGCAAAGGAAAATTCTGTTTACTTACGCTGTTCTATACAATGTATAGTATACAATGAATCCATCTGTCCCTAGTGTTTTATATTTATTAATTTTATAGAAAACATTATTTTCGTACTATACATTTATTAAGAATAAAAAGTTCTACTTACTCATTTTCCAGTAGTTATATTAATTTTTACAAATCAATGTTTTAGATTTTCCTATAACAAAACGTCATAATTATTTTTATTTTAATCTAGGTAATTTTTTTTATTATTTATTAGTTCACGTTCAAATCACCTGTTCTATTTTTCAATTAAAAATGTCTCTACAATTATCCATAACTATAAAATAACTTATCTTCCAAGTATAAAATAAGAATGAAACCTAGACAGCCATCGAAAGACGAACTGAAATGTTTTCCGTTTAACCTGCTTGAAGTGCATTTAAAAAAATAGTATTATTGTGATCACTCTAATTCAATCTATTTTTAAATGTTTGTATCCCTAAGAAGATCCATATATAATGATAAAAAAAGTTTAATTTTTGTTTTTAGTATTGAGTAGAAAACAATATGGACCTAACCATAAAATATGAGTTTACATTAATGCAAAATCAAGGATTTGAAACTTAGCTAAGATACAACTATTAAGTGTTACAGGTTTGGGTATTAGTCATATTGTTTGTTTCCATTTGAAAGCTGCAATAATTCACTGCATTCAAAAAATGTTTTTAAGCAAAAGAAAGTATAATATTTGAGTAAATAATAAATGTTGCTATTCCTCAAAATTTGTAAACATTATAGCAAGTAAATAATATATCGAACTTAAATCTCTAGTGTTATATATAAAATAAGTAAAATATTTGGTATCAATTTATTATAAAATTATCGAGTTTAAAAAACATTAATTTCTTGGTTTTACCAAAAGAATCAAAAAGATGAAATTTAAAATAATACCCAAACAATGTCTTTATTCAATTATTTTTTCTTTATGTCCAAAAATAAATACTAAAAAATTTGAATGGGGTCCGTTTAAATTAAAAAATAGCGATTTCCCGTATGAAACATTTAATGCTGATTATATACCATAGAATAAAGTAATAGATGTGGGTATATTAATAATAACTGTTTGAAAAAGAATATAAATTAAATAGTGTTGTGATAACAATTCAAAGTACATTTGGAAAATATAACTCTTAAAATTGATGACTAGATAAGCTAAGATTCTTTTAATTTAGTAAATTTTTAAGTTTTTAATAATAAACATTCATATTTTTCTCAAATATTTAAGTATTTTCTAAGGATTCTTTTATAATTATATATTTGGATCAAATAACTAAATACTATAAATTTAAGAAGATAGATATATTTTTATAGAATGGTAGGATTTGACGTTTTTAACACAAAATTAAAAATAGGCAAACCTTGGTCGTTTGAAGGAAACTATAATCCATTAAAATATTAAATTAAAAAAACCAAATAACAATCGACAAATGATCATTGAAATATATAAAAATAAAATAATGATTAATTATTTTTATAGATCACTGGCGCGGCTCGAGGAATAGGTCGTGAACTTGCGTTTAGATTCAGCAAGCTGGGTGCAAAAATTGCATGCCTGGACGTCGATGAAATCGGAAACAGAGAGACAGCAACAATTATTAAACAAAACGGTGAAACAGCGGCCGATTATAAATGCGACGTGTCTAAAAAGGATCAGGTGAAGAATGTGCACAAAAAAGTGGTACAGGACTTGGGTCCAGTAGATATTTTGATTAATAATGCCGCTATCGTGTGGGGTTACTCGTACATTAATCCCTTTGCGGATCAGTTCATAGAGGACCTAATCAACGTGAACATCGTAGGACAGATTTGGGTGAGTGCACGTCGCGATATTTATTCCTGAACGGACAAACCACGGTTGTAAATATATTTTCCATCAATTATACGTGTATAATAATAGTATGTTACCGTTGTATTATATTGATTGTCGCAGATGAATAGAGAAATATTGCCATCCATGTTGGAGAGAAACAGTGGGCACATCGTGGCAGTATCTTCGATGTCTTCCATGTCCGGAGTACCCGGCCTTTCCTCGTACACACTTTCCAAATGGGGCACCAACGGTAAACCGATTTACAATCACGTATTATATCATTATTGTGACGACGTTGTTATCATTATCGTGGTTTCAGTGTTCTAAGAATTTGTTCATTCACAAACCGGGAAAGCCACCCGATATCCCGTTTTCTTACAGACCCATCAGTCTCCTCCCAACGTTCTCTAAAATCCTTGAAAAATTATCCTAAAAAGAATTTATCCAATTGTAAATGATAAAAATATTATTCCTAACTCTCAATTCGGTTTTAGAAACAATCACTCTTCGCTTCATCAAATTCACAGAATAGTTGACAACATTGCCTCTTTCCTTGAGCAAAAACACTTTTGTTCAGGGGTATTTCTCGATGTTAAGCAGGCATTTGATCGTGTCTGGCACGAAAGCCTTCTTTATAAACTCCTCTTTTTACTCACTCCATTATACCTCACCATAAAATCTTTCCTCACAAACCGCTCCTTTGTAGTACGATGTGAAGAAGAGTATTCTAATATTCATCCTATAAGAGAAGGCGTCCCTCAAGGCAGTATTCTCGCACCTACATTGTTCAATATATATAGAGCTGATCTACCTCAATCAAATAACACCAACTTAGCTACTTTTGCAGACGATACTACTATAACCTCATCCAGCCCTAACTAAGAATCTGCCATAAATAATCTCCAAGACCATCTAACTAATTTACAAAACTGGTTTAACTTATAGAGAATAAAAATAAATGAAAGCAAATCCACTCATATTAACTTTACCCTCAGCCTAAAAAATATTCCCCCCATTTATCTCAATGACAAAATAATCCTCATGGGCACATCAGTCAAGTACCTAGGTCTCCATCTAGATAAAAGACTGACCTGGCCAACACATATAAAAACAAAACGAAAATCCTTAAATCTCCGTCTGCACAAGCTAAGGCAACTACTTCGTTCTAGAATCTCACTTGAAAGTAAAATGTTAATATATAAACAATTAATATGCCCTGCAATGACGTATGTCATTCAATTATGGGGCTCTACAAAAATGTCTAACCTAAAAATATTCCAAGTGTTCCAACCAATAAACCTTCGTATCCTCACTAATGCCCCATGGTATGTAAATAACAGATCCCTACATCATGATCTTAACGTTCCAACGATATCCGTTCTAGTTTTGTATAACTATAATAACTTTCACAAAAACGTCCTAAGTCATCCTAATCCTCTAGTCGACAAACTAGCATCTAAAACACTACCTAACAACCCTCCTCGTCGTCTCAAACGAAAATTGCCACGTGATTTTATAATTAATTAATTGAAATTTATATATTATAGATATATTTATTATATACAGTAAAATTTAATTTAAATAAAGTTCATGTTGGAAGTAGTGTCAATGGACTCTCCCTTCTCTCAAGCCGTTCAGACTGGTAAAAAATGTCATTCAAAGAACTTATTGTATTTATGTTATACAGATTGTAAATTTTTTTATCCAAATTATTATTATTGTGTTCTAATATTCCGAAAAGTTACAAAACAAACAAAACCCGTCGGTAACGACGTAAGTAAAGTACGTAAGTAAACGAGCGATAGAACGCGTGTACTTTTAAGTATTGGCAAAAAGCATATCAGCATCTTTTCGTATCATGACTATATCCGATCAGGTATATTGATACGATATATACACGCATTTCGTTTACAACGATTGACTATGTTTATAGGTATGATGGAATGCTTGGAAAACGAGATGAGGATTTTAAATTCAAACGTTAAAACGACGACTATACTGCCGTACTTCGTGAAAACCAACCCCAAAGTCACAGCAAAATTAGACCTCAGGTACGGATATAATATATTAGCTGACTGGTTGTTTTCACTCACGAACTGTTCCACATTTTGAAAAGTGGAGTGAAATTGTATCTCGATTTTCTTTCGAACATAATATTTCAAATTTTTTTCTCCGTGGCATTTGAATAGATAGAAACCTTTTATATTTCCAAAAAAATTAAAAGTTTTTTTTAATTAATATCTAATTAATAAGACGTACTTAAATTTCTGAAATAATCTAAAGGCGTATAGGTAAATAAATCTGAAAAAAATACGTCTACATTTTTAGAATACCGGAAATACCTACGGAAGTGGCTGTCGAAGGAATGATTAAAGGAATACTGGAAGAACGACGAGTGTTTTCGATTCCCGGAGAGATATTGCCGATATCTTCGTTTGTTAGGTAAGTTTATCCGACTGTTAAACATAAAACAAGATAATGATATAACTTATATAATTATTATGCGTAATATTCAGGGCTTGGGAGTTAAAGCATTTACTTATTTTTATGGATTGACTTAAAATGTAGCAGAGTACTATATGAATGTATGTCAATTTATATCGCGTACAATTATGAAAATTGAAAGTGCCTTTTTTTGCTTTTTTCAGCAATTTTTTTAAAAAAATGCTCATTTCCAGTTTTTCTGATTATTTTTGCTCATTTGACCAATTGTTTTATGTTTTTATAGTTTTCTCCTGCAAAGTCGTTTTTGATAGAATTAAAAATAAAAATAATTCTTATCTTATCTACGTTGTCACGTAGTTCGTCGCCGTCCGAGGCATCGTTGTAAGGTGCGGCTCCACTGGGAGCGATTCTGCGTTTTTGCGTTTCGAGCGTTTCTGCGATTTTACACGCACGATGTCCACTAGCGATTTTGATGGGGACACTTTAGCGAGTTTACATGCGTTTCTACAATTTTACGTCACGCGTGTTCGTTTTATTTTTCATTAGTTTATTCGATCCTCAACCAAGATGACGTCCAGAAAAATGTTGCTGGCTGAAAGTGCTGCTTTAATTTACATTAAAGTAAATTATCATCCATGTCGAGATCTTTTCCAAGGTTGGACTAACATTTTTGGATCTTAGTCCTATTACTGTGGTCTGGATGTCTAGGATTCCAAATAGCTTCCTGTACGAAGACAGCGGCAGCTATTTGTTCGGACACAACCGACGTGGAAGACATTTTGACAGCGATTAATCGCCAAATATCAAACTATTTTATTCTTTCAGCGATTACCGCGCGTGTAAAGCTACACGCGACACGCGACATGCGCTCAGTGGGGCCACTACAAATGAGTTACATACTTTTGTTAAAATCCCTAAAACGCAAAATCGCTACACACTATTGCTAAAACGCAAATCGCTTCCAGTGGGGCCGCACTTGTAGGGTTTAACAAAAATATTCCAATGCTGAAAATAGAACTGAGTGTCAAACGTCAAAATAATCAAAAACAGAAAAAACAGTTTACATTTTATTTTTTAGAAAAATCCCCTAGAAAATCCATAAAGTCCTTAAAGTCTTGAAAGTGAAGGTTTATTTAAATTTTGTTTGATTTTTTGAGTTAGAATTTTATAATTTTTTTTTTTTTTTTAATAAATATTTTTGCTTAATTTTAAATTTTTTAATTGCTTATTTTAGTGCTTATAAAGATGTTCTTAATCGCTTTTTAAGCATTTATTTTTATGATTTTAAATGCTATTAGTCCCGAGCCCTGGTAGTATCTATTTTTAATGAAATAATATCATCATCATGTATATAAAAAGTTACCTAATAAAATTGTTTTTTGCTATTTAATATTTAAAACTATAAATATATATTAATATTATGAAAATTATCTAACTCTACATTGTTTTTTACTGTAGATTGTTACCTGATAATTTACAAAATTTATTCTATAAAATAGCATATGTAAGGCTTATACCGGATGAAAGCGATGAAGTAATTGTCAAGAAATATACTCGTAAATGAATTTACGAACCACTTTTTAAGCAAGTATGTGACTTCCAAACGAGTTCTGTATAATTATTTATTATATTTTAATTATTTATTATTTATTTAATCGTGAAAATCACCTATAAACATGTTATACATTGAACGTTAATTGTTAATAATTTTCATTATTGGATGTTTAAAGATAACATATTATTGGGTACATATATCTTATAGATATTATATTTTATTTTTTTATTTGAACAGTTTGTGAATATTGTGATATATATTTTTTTTTTTTGTTGTAGCTTTAAGTGTTTATTTTGAAAATATTTTATAATAAAATAATAAATGTAAGTGATAAAATATTTTACTAAGCAAGACAGAATAAAGAAACCTTTTTGTGAAAGCAATTTGACGGTTTTAATCATTATTATAATATTATATTATATTTATAAATTCCGGGCTATCACGGCAGATGTATTATTTCAAAAATGAAATTGTTCGATTAGGAATAACTAGTTGTACTATACATTATTTGGAGTTAAAATACTATTGTTTAACTTATATTTTTTAAATACATTTTAAATACTTATAATCAGGGCTCGTAAGTTCATGCATTTGTATGTTTTCTTTGTTAGATCGGAAAATATGCTAATTGAGATAAAAATCCTTTTTATAACAATGGTAATAAAAATCTTAAGTTTAAAAGAACATGTTTTTGCATGTTTAGTGTTTATTGGCGTATTTGGCATATAGTTGATTTTTTTTTTTTTTTTTTTTGAGTTATTAGCACATATTATTTTATATAAATTTTGGGACATTGTTTTTCGTGGAAGACAAAAAAAAAAAAAATTAGGTTTAAATTTGACAAAATAATATGTTATACAGTCTTGTAAATTATCCGAAAAATAAAATCATCCATATGTGGTGTAATTTAAGCATAGAAAATGATGGCAAAATGTATTAATTGTAAATCAATGAACCAGATTGATCAACACACTAATTTGAAATAAACTTTATAATACAAACCACATTAACTGAAATTTCACATTTCCAATTGATGGTATTGTGATGAAATGTGTTTTGTTTGTGTATCAATGAGATAAATGAGTTTTTTATTAATATATATAATAATGGTAATGGGAGTCATTTAAGTGCCGGATGCACATCAAGTAACTGAAATTTTACTAATTATAATATTATAATCATATGATATTCCTGATAGTTCTGGAGGCTCTAATAGTGACTCAAATTCTACTTATGTTAATAGAAGTTTTAGTAGATCTGAAGCCAGTGATTCCAGTTCTATTTATGTTACCAAACGTGTTAGTTGTTCTACAGGAAATACAGGTAGCTCTGAAGTTATAACTGTCAATGGAAGAGCTAGTGGTTACAAATAGGCATGTTCTACTGCAGTTTTTGTGACTTGCAGGAATTATCATATCCTTTCACCTTGGGATTTTCATTATATTATCACTATCAGGTCCCCTTAGTTTCTTGGCCATAGATTTCAATAATTCTGGATTGATTATAAATCTTGAAAATTTACTAGGTGGTTGACATTTTGCTTGCATAGGCTTAAATGGCGGTGGAGGCGGTGGAATTATTACTGAAAATTTTGGTTCTGGTAGACTCGGTGTCGCTGAACGAAGAGGATAATCTTGTTGATTTTTGCTTCGTGTTGAACGTTGACCATTAAATAGTTCATTCCACCTCTTAAATATGCTCTTGACCTAATCTTAACATGAAATCTGCGAAATCGTTTATGTTTTGAGACGGCTATGGAAATCAACAAGATTGTACAAATTTTGCGGAACCGTAATGTAGATAAGCATACAAAGATCTTCAATCACGGCGAAATTCTGAAAAAAAATAACGTTTGAAAACAGTTCATGTAAAAAAAAGATTATAATATTATTATACGAGCGTTCGAGGAACGTAAATATTGGCGAAAAAAGGAAACTGACAGCGTTATCACCGGCAAAACAAATAAAATAATTTCACGAGCGTCTAGAGACAGCGCCTCTTATCTGCACTATTATTATCAGTATTACACTATCACTACAGTTGCCTTATCACATAATCGGTTGATTACATTTAAATATTATATTTAAACAAACAGCCATAATACTATATTATTTAATAATTATATTAATTGTAATATATTTATTATTTAGTATTATATAGTACAAACTACAATGTCATCAAGTGAAGAATTAGAAATAATAAATTTAAAATGTTGTTCTCTTCAAGGTAATGATTTAAAAAATTCATAATAATATGTAAAACCAGTCTTGTTTGTAAATTATTTGAATATATATTCTCTATATGAGGCGTTTAGAATGGAAGAATTCTAATATTTAGAATTGTCCACTAGGTTGAATCGTTATAAGAAAATACTTAATTATTTTGACCTCATGAGGTTGTTATCAAGAGCATTATTTACTTTTTTTCTTAAACTTATTTGTGTAGAAAATAATATTATCTCAAAAATACTTAAGCGAAAAATTAACAATTACGAATATGGTTTAATATTTTAACAACAAACTTTATCAAGTAGTTAAGATAAATGTTTAGGAATACTCCCGGGTTAACTTGTAACTCCAAAACGGCTTTTGACTAATGAACTTGAACGCTAAGGGTGTATTGTTGTTTCTCCGCTTTCATATCGGTCGATATCGAGAAACATATTATAAACTGTGGTCATAAACTAGAAATTATTAAAGGCGATCACCGATCTACTACTAAAATATTAGTCCTTATCGTAATCATAAGGGTACAAATTTATTGATTATTGCATTCAAATTATTTGGACTGTATGAAAACTGTGGCAAGATTAACCTCTTTCTAAAAGTCAATATATGGCAAGAAAAATTTAACATCATACAACTTGCTGCAAATTCGATAAAATAAATTATACAAGTTGCGGAAATTTCTTTTATACACCTAAGATATTATATATAATATAATACCTAATCCATACATAGCTATGTGTGTATATCGTTTAATTCATTATGTTATGTTGCGTCTTGGATACAAAATGGTAAGGTAAATACAAATATATTTTTAAGTTTTAACAAAACATACTAAATAACGGTTCCTATACTTTTGATAATTCTAGATACTAACCTACCTAATAGTGTTGTATGTCAGTAGAAGTAGTTAAAAATTTAATATTTAATTCAACGAGATGAAATGTATAATAATGTTTAGCCGGAATGGCAAA